TCTATCTATCTATCTATCTATCTATCTATCTATCTATCTATCTATCTATCATCTACCTACCTACCTGGGATATAAGTGGGAAGTTATTTGAATTCTTTCTACAAAGGAGATAAAAATTCCGGGTGTGTCATGCCAAAGTCAGGAGAAAAAACTGGAACATTGCATATCCAGCTCAGAGTCGAAAAATAGGAGAAACACGCGACTTTTCTTTCTCATCTCCAATTCTTAGAAAGCAAAAACTGTGTTATGAAAGCTATAATGCCATATAAGACCTTAGGCAAACAAAGGAGCCCTACCAAATCATTTTCCTGTACTGCATTGCCATGGCTTACCATTCCTCAAGTTTTCTTATCTCTTATTTTTTTAAAATGGTGAGAATGTATTTACAATAGTTCCTGTTTAGGCTGCATGCTTTGGATCTATTCAACTCTTGTGAACTTTTACCACACGTATATTTGGGATGCTATTAAAAAAAAAAAACTACTGAAAGTAAAGTACTACTCGCCGTCTGGGCACATATACATGCATGCACGCACGCATACGAGCACACACAGACATTCGCTCTACTTACAGTTTTGGATGCCAGTGGTGAGGAGAAAAAAGCTGTGCTGTAATCCTGCATGCAAACGCCGGCCAGAATGGCTACTACTACCAAAAAGTAAAAGAAATTAAAAATAAAAGCAAAACAAGGAAAAACAAAAAAACAAAAACAAAAAACAAAAGCCAGATGTCACCCCCTGTCCACAGAGAGGATGTTGCAGGGGGAGTGAGGATGAGAAGCAGTAGGCAGCGAACAGCTTCAGATGGCCTTACTCACTTTAACAGAGACTTTGTTGCCCAGAATATCCTTGGGTTTACGTAGGCCATTGGCTTCCGTTTTGCCACTGCTTTCCTTTTCCGCCCGCTTTCTCATGCGCAGGGTATGCCATGAACATGACTTCCTGTTATACCAAAAAATGCACTAATCAAATAGCAGGTCTTAGTAGGAAGAGGAAGGGATGTGGAAAGGCAAGGAACATACATGTTCTGAATCTCTGCAGCTCTTCCCAAGGAGATGGAAGCCACCTGCAATATGTCTACTTGGATATACATATTCAAACCTGAAATTCAAACTATTCTAATATAGTTGTTATTCCTGTTGGAACCCAAACATTATCTTTAAAATACAGATTAAAAGCAAACTGTATAGTTAAGACTGGTAACATGCAAAGATTTAGTACTAGATACAAATACAAATAAGTAGTATTGGAATAGAAAGAGAAGTCTGTGTGCTCCCAATATGGACAAATAGTTCCATATTCCAGAGTTCAGTGCCACATTCCAAACATCAAAAGTTCAATTGCAATTTTATTAACAGAATTGGCTATTTCCTGGTGCAACCTTCATTATGCTTAGCTTTCCTAGTGTTTTACTCCCACCTGCATTTGATCAGTCCAGTGTCAATAATGTTTTGCCAAAAAAAAAAAACACCCTTCTAAATAAGACGTAATTAAATTGGCTGTGTTCATATTGTGCGATGGTAAGAATAAAGTGGTTTGACACCAGTAAGAAGCTTTTCTTTGGGATGGGGAAGTAAGAGACAAAACAACATGAAAGGCAAAGTGGAGAAATACAGAATTTAGTTCATCAAAACAATATATGAAAGTATATATTTATAAGTAGGGTTTTAATTTTTAGCAGAAATTATATTCTTCAAATTCCAAATATATTTGTAGGTTTGAGAAGTGCGCTGAAATGAAAAGAAATACTTAAACAAAAGGTTAAGTAGCCTGCTATTGTGCCTTCTTCATGCAGGATTAGAATGACATACTATACAAATAGGTGATTCTGCCTGGCGTATTACAATTGTCACAAGAGCAATAGTGTAATACTATAGCAGCAAGCATGCAAAATAGTAGGCAGTAAATGCTATGCATATGCACCTAGGATCTATGATTAGAACAGTATACAAATGTACATGAATTAAAAAAAATCTTTTTCAGCTATTTAATAGCACCTCTAGTGAAAATGAATGACCATATGAGGATTGTTCCAATCTTGCAACATAACACAACCATGTTTAGGTCAAAGGCTGCACTAAATTTTCAAATGGTGTGCTGAGTGGGTCCTGTATTTCTAAGCAGACAGAGTCAAGGCAAGAATGAAATCTAATCTTAAATCAATTATATATAATTAGAGTACTCCACTGTCAGCCCCACAATGTGGACCAAACCAATCACAAATCAACTCCACATGAAGGCCAAAGCTACTTTTATTAATAATTGGCTATAATAACAGAATCTTGTAAGTTTGGCTAGGCTTTTCTCCTGCATCCTCCTTTAGTTCATGTGAATGAATACTTATAGGTTGTGCTGGGGCTTTAAGAAATGTCTCTTAAGCAGCTTATATCTTGTGGTATTTACTGTAAAAAAGTTTAGACTTTTTTTTGCATTTTCAATAGGTACATTCACTGAATGAATGGAGTTGTGTAATTCTCTCTTTTCTCTTGCTTTTCCAGCAGCAGGTCTGTAAATGCAATATATATAACTAGGACTATGAGCCTGTTCTTATAATATGCAGTTAACGTGTGTACTAAAAGTATTTGAGGAGGGCTTTTGATAATAGATCTCATAAAAATATTTCAAGATTACAGCTGAGTTCAATATCCATCTAAGTACAAAAGTCCAGCGGGAAAAATGAAAGTATTATTAAAGAAAGTAAAACAGGTGAAATTAGATGGGTCTAGAACCTTTGCTTAAGAGACTCTTTCTGTTTAAATTTGCAATAGTAACAAGGAGGGAAAGATTCTCAATTTCTAGTATACATTCAGATAAGGCCCATCTCTGAAACAGGATGCACAAAACATTACATGATTTCATTGCCCTTTCACCATTCTACAATAATATGAAATCTTCACCTAATAGCTATAAATGACATGTGCAAAGCTGCAAGTAATTTCATGGGCTTTTAAAAAAACATTAACTGAAAAAAATCTCCATAATCCAAGACATTTGAGCAATATTTGAATTCAGGTTTGGTATAGCCTTCTACCAAAGCCTGTATCAATAGCCTTAATTTTTACACTGACAAATTTCCTTACACCGTCATTTATTTTTGTTTCACTTTGTGTATGTGTGTGTGTGTGTTTGCCTTCTCTGTATATTTGTTCCCTAGCATGAGTCTCATTGCATTTCACACTCATCTCTTATTTCACCATCTTTGGTATTTATTATGTCTGCCTGGTAAGTCATGCTTTATTTTCGGTGTTTGTCTCATCATAGCAGAGCAGTTTTATTCCTGAAAAGTTGCTGCTGTAAAAAATGACGCCATTTTCTCTATAGCAAGACATTAAGGGGCTTAGAGGAAGCCACCGCTGTGCAGGAATAGCATTTTTAAGTCAATTGCTATCATATATGAAGCGGTCCTAAACAGACTAACTTATGGGAGCAATTAGCGCCACATCTTACCATTCTCAGGAACTCTATTTATTGGGCTGTTACTGAGATTTAAGCAGCTGTCAATTCAAGTCTAATTACACACAGTTGGCAAGACTCCACCTCAGAGGTTCCCCAATGATCACTTCGGTGATTCTTTAGCATTATCCTATGAACGGGAGGGCCAAGTATTTCACACGCTGCCAATTTCTAGCTATGCTCATGGGATGTGCAGACTGACTAGACCATATAATTCTGCCACTGTCAGACCACTCTCATTAACACATTATTAATCATTTATACATAAATGATTAGGCTTTGCTTCAAAGGCACATTCTCTTTTTCTTCTTGGTTTTTAATCATGGATATCACTGATTCTTCCTTCTTATCAAATTTCGTCCTGGGTTGAAAGAGAAATCCTGTTTGGAGTTGAACTTGGTTAGTATCTATGAAAAAGCAAGAGTAAACAATGGCTAAGGGCATATCTGCAACTGGTATGGTTTTGTCCCTATTATAATTAATAGTATAGCTCTTGGGATGACAGCATCAGAACCAGGCTTAGTGATTTGTGGCAAGGAACACGTTATCGTATTTCAGCATTTAAACCACAATATTGAAATATTTACCACTGGCAAAATCAAGTTTTGGTGACTTTGTGTGAGAAAACTGATACTGGTTTGACAACTGCAGGTGTAAAAAAACAACAACAGTTTTTTTATGGAAAAGGATTGTACCTTTTGTATTTAATATCAAAAAAAAAAAAACATTTTCTTGCATTTAGTCATTTCAAATTAACAAAATGACAAAAAAATTGGAAAGAGTATTTCACATTTCATTAAATTAGGAACAAAACATAGAAAGAAAAAAAGAACTAAAGAGGGTCAGAAATTGGTCCTTTTATAATCTTCTCAAAACATGCTCATAGTGAAAATTTATTTTACATATTTAAAATAGTACATTTAAAATTATTAGTTACATTACAGGTACAATGATGAACATTGCGACTATCCATAATATTGCACAATCTGACTTCAAATATGGGATTTTTTTTAAATAGTGCAAAATACTTTTTACAGGAATGTACTGCAAAAGGGATTTATCAAACAAATTTTTTTTTATACAAAATATGCGAACAGAAAAAACAAAACAAAATGAAAATGTTACAAACTGTACAAGAAATTGCCATAGACAACATAAAATCTCTTCCTTGAGAAGCAGGACTCAAGCCAGTAGAGGAGAGCAATGTTTGTTTTGTTTGTTTCTCTCACACACATATATACACACACACCCTTTCACATTCACATATGTGCGTATGGTTCTACACACATACACACACATGTTATTTAAACACAAGATAAATAGAAATCCAGTCAATTAGGTCCATGATTAGGAAAAGATGGAGAACATAAACCATGTTTTTTAAACTGTCTATGGATTTTAATATTTTATAAATTATAAGGGGAAAAACACACACAAAAAACCCCCAATTATCCCAAGATGAATACCCCATGCTGTGTTATCAAGCATAGTTTGTTCCAATGGCACTGAAGATCTAAGGAAACAGTAGGAAAATCCTACCATTTGTGTTTAATTTTTCCTCAAAAATCCACATACTGCTCCCTGGGAATCCAACACAGCACTTACTTTATGCTTCCGTCGCTACTATCTGTAGTTGATTTAGTGAGGGGAGCCAAGATATTTCCTGGGATCCATCCTTCTGCTGCTGGTGAGTGGTCATTGGCAGGCTGGTATACAAGGAACATGTTCTGCTGGTTAATGGCAAGTACTTGGACCACTTCACCTTGGTTGACACAGATCTCATTCTCCTTTAATGCATAGTAATCTTTGATGACCACCATAGAAGAGGTTCCATTGCACCCACCCAAGTCATTCTGAAGAGGAAACAGAGAGAACACCAACAAGAAGATAACTCTGGCATAATGTTAACTTTTCATCACCGTCCTCTTGTACCTCTTGCCTTCCAGCAAAAAGGCAACTAATAGGCTAGACAAATCACCCCTTAAATACTGAAGCAGTATTTTATCCACTGATACAAGATAAGGTACTGACACATTAATTCTTTTAGGGCCTTAAGAGTGCCACAAATCAGACTGAAAAAAACAAACAAAAGGGGAATACAAAACCCACTGAAATTAATGGAATCGATACAATTTTGCTTGGACCATTAACATCGAACTATATAGTAGTAATTTCAGAAATAAAGGCCCAGTATGAAAGCAATATTGTATTTTCAAATCTCAAATTTGAATCTGAGCATATGTTGCTATTAAAAAGATGTCCAAAGCTTGTTTGTTTTTTAATTGCCTGGACACCATTCAAGTACCAGTATTATCTAGGACACAAAGGAAAGATTACTGAGTGCCAATATTGAGTAGAACTAAGGCTACATTTTTATCCTTGCAATTCAAGCAAATCAGATGAGGCAAAATCTAAAGCAAATTACAATACAATGTTGGCTGGAACATTTAAGCTATTATGTTTCATGTCCCTTATTTATTAATCTTTTCAGTTGATCAAAGCTGAAATTCTCATCTGCTCTGGCACTCTGGGAGGCAAAGTGCATGAATTCCCAACAGCTTGTTGCTTAAATTCACGTCTAAAGATTCACAGAAGAGGAGAATAATTTTGAAGGGAAACTGGGTGGTTGCTCAAAAGGCCACCTTTCCTTATACCACTTCTTCAAAAGAGGCCGCCAAAAAGTGTAAAGGCATGAATAAACATTTGTTTAATGATTAATGCCTAATGTTTGCCAACAGGTAGATTGCTTGCTTTTTAGCAGTTTTCTTTCATTTTTCATACAGCGGGATGTTAAGTCTTTCCTTAACATCCCTCCATATCTTCACTATGATAAAATAAACTTGCATATTTTTAGTTTAATGAATACACAGAGCATATATTATATATTTACTGTACAGCCTGGTTTACGTAATAAATTTTGTTGAGTTTGGTTTGGAATACTCTGCTATGTGAAGTCAACTATTGTAATTTGTCATACGGATTGGTGAATTGTACAAGCAAATATGGATTCTTCAAAAAAAATGGTTTATTGTGTCTCAGCTTCTTCCTCCACCAACCAGATCAACAGGTAGCCAAATTTAGAATGGACGTGGTTCCACTACCTTGCTCTGTTCATATCTGTCCTCAGGCTGGTGCTGTTCATGCCCTGTGTTACCATTGGAGGTAGATATCTTCAGAGGTGGAAGCGATGGATTGCGCATTGTAACCTTTGAAGTTTTATCAGGTCCTACAGGTCCTGAGGAATAGGGTCTGGTGATGGGCTGAGGTGCCCGGCTGGTCTGGGGCCTCATTACAGCTGAGCTGCTGCCTTCTTTCCGCTGATACTCTATTGGAGACTGTAATGCTACAACAGAATATGATATGTTACACCAGGCCTCTCCATCTATCACATCATGAAGCAAGAATGGGTCACAAATGACCTTTGTAAATCACTGAAAACCAGTGGCAGAATTTTCCGTTTTTTTCCTCAAAAGAAAACAAAACAAAATTTATATTCCTAGTTTCCAGGACAGGTCTACCGCATACAATTTCCCTATAATATTTTTAAAAATAGTATCACAAATACAACTGAAAGCTAGTCAGTCGTTAGTTTAAAAACAGTTGGAAATCTGAAACCTTTTCATTAGGAAGAGGAAGGAGCAAGTTTCAAAACTCCATGAGCAAAGAAAACAGTGCTATAGCTTTGGATATTTCAGGTCTCATGAAGAGTTGCCACAGGCTTCTCCAATATTCTAGCTTTACAGCCCAAAGGACAAAAGAGCAGAGGCAATTATGCATCCCCTAATTACAAACATATATAGAAATTTGTTTTACATGATAGTGACACCCTTTAAGTCTGTTCAATAGTATCATTGTATAAAATATGAAACTTGGAATCCTACATGAAACTTATTAAAGAAAAGCATGTTGTACTATTTTAAACTAGTATTCTGTAAAACTTAGAAGGGTCCAAATGAGGAAGAAATCATATCAATGTCATGCTATTACTGAATGATGAGATATGTGCCAGAAATAAGGGTGAAGGCTTCTACCATGAGAAATGAAAAAGTTCTGTCATTTTCCCTACATACTCCTGGTTGAAGTTAAAATGAATAAATGAACTATTCTACAACTTTGTGACTATTTAAACTCTATGCAAATAATCACCCAATAAAGAGAGGGTTGCCTGTAATATTGAAATAAAGGATCAACCACTATTTCTCCATTGACTTTTCTGAATTGTTCAGTGACATCCATAGGAAGCCATAATGACCAGACATATATATTGATATAATCATGTAAATGGCACAACTTATGTACTGGTGGCAGATATTGGAATGAAAGTACATAATGACAAGATTCCCATGATGATTTGTCACACATGTGTCACTGTTGATTCCCTCCCCACCTGATGCCCAGTGAAGAGTTAAAAAAAATTGTTTTACTGGGTGGCAGTTACCAAGATATAAATCCATCAATTGTTAAGACTTACCTATATTGGAAGTTTATTCCTATGTGAATGCAACCAATCTATTAGAGATAGTAGTGCTAACATAAAGATCTAAGATAAAATATATGCCACTAGTACTAAGATATCAATAGTGTCAACAGTCTGCTAAGCTTCAACTTAGTTTTTCATATCTAACAAGGATATTTCTTTAACATGCATTTGGCCTTTTTCTAGTCATGTTTCATATAAAAGTGAAGACCTCAATAGCTCAGTATGGATGACACAGATAATGAAGAGGGCTCTATAATTGGTATCAGGTTGAAGTTGGAGTAAGGTTCAATCAGCATTTTACAGCCAACTGCAAAGTACTTGGGCTTTATTTCAACAGAGCAGAAAAATACCTACCATTTAAGAAGTCCCTCTGGGTGTCAAGTACTTGACTGATATCCTGTACCCAAGCTTGTTGGATTTCAGGATTGGCAGACTGCAATACGAACCGTTCCGATGTTTCCCGATTCATGAGAGCAAATTTGCAAGGATCATTGTCCACATTGTCCTCAAGTATTAGATATGTCATCTGCAAGTAGCCAGAAAAAATAATAATAAAAGTAACTGCACAGGGGGACATGGAAAGGATCATGCTGAATCTGGCTATACAGTAGTAGTGGACTCAAAGGTAGCCCTTCAACTGCAGCTTATAAAAGGAGCAGCAGGTTTGCCTCTTCAGCTAATTTCTTCTCTGGGAACTGCATTAGAGATACAATTCAGTTTTGTTCTTCAAATGCGCTGCCATGCATATTCAGCTTTTGAATCATCTTTGTGAGCTTCCTTTTTTTTAAAAGACAAGGCGATTACATGTAATCACTGTAGTTCTTTGCACAGAACAAATTGTTCACACGAATATAGTCTGAAATGGCTTTTCAGATACCTTACCAATACATATGAGTATCAACAGTGATATGCCATTTGCTCAGTCTTGTGATTTTGATAACTTTTTCTGCTGGCTAAAGTTTTTAGTCCATGTTGAAAACGTTCAGATAGGATTTTATATTATTTACACATATGTTTTTAATTTTTCTAGCTGTATGCAGGAATAAGGTCAATTTCTTATATCTTGCTGTCTGGACCGAAAAAGTACCTAAGACAACAGTGTGATAATGAAAAATTATAGTAAATCTATTCTGAAGCCTCTTTTCCCCTTGAGGAACCATTCAAATGGTAAGGCCTATATTCACCATGTTTATATCCTACATAATTTAACTGTGAGGGATCAAGGTAGAATCTGAAAAATCATATCCGTCCTACCACTGATTACCGGATGACAAATTCCAAATAATTGAATGAGTGAAGGTCATCCTCTAATGTTAATTAGTCAAGAGGGAAAGTTAAAAATTAAGTTGTTTGATTATTCAGAATTGCCCCGCTATATAGATGTGCAAAACAGAAATTTTCAAATATATGAAGTTGGTGAGACAAGAACCAGTGCTGCTTGGATCTAGACATAATAACTGCTTAAATAAGGGGCAGGTGCATTCAAGTCTCAAAGCTAGGAAAAGAATGGCCAAGAGTCTATTTGGGTTTGAGTCTCTGGAAGAAGAGATTTATAGCTGAGCTGATGTGACATAATGCTTGCAAAAACCTGCCAGGACATTAGTAAAGGTATACAATATATGTCAAAATTGATTTTCAAGCAAGGAAAAAAATGTTAAGAGAAGAAACTGCAATCGCTTGGATAAAAGCAGTCAAAGAAAGCACAGAGAAGTAACGGTGTTAAACAGTTGCATTGGGAAGGAGCCATACACTGCTTAAGTCATCCAGTTAGTAAAATACTAGGGGAAAACCCTACAGAAAACCTCCCCTCAAATGGCTTTTCCTGTACAAAGGGATGCAGAGCTCATGTTACACATATACCAAAGAGTTCACCCTTCTATTGCTTTTGCATCTACTAGTAATTTCCATTTTGGTTTCCCTATGCAAGCATACAAGACGTGGCACAAAGACAAAACAAGACCACACTGACTAAAACAACTTCTTATAGTTTCCTTAGCTAGCTAGTTTGGCTGAAGCTCTTCGGAGAAGTTATCAGGACAAGTAAGTAACTCACAATCACAATTGAGCCCAACATGTCAGTTGCTGAGTTTTGCCCCGTTTTATGACTTTCCTTGCCACAGTTGTTTAAGTGAATCACTGTAGTTGTTAAATTAGTAACATGGTTGTTCAGTGAATTCGCCTTCCCCGTTGATTTTGCTTGACAGAAGGTCGCAAAAAGGGGAATCACATGACCCAGGGACACTGCAACCGTCATAAATGTGAGACAGTTGCCAATCATCCAAATTTTGCTCACATGACCATGGGGATGCTGTTGAAATAACGAAGTCACGGGTGTGAAAAATCGGTCATAAGTCACTTTTTTCGGTGCTGTTGAAACTTGGAATGATCATTAAACAAACTGTTCTAAGTTGAGGACTACCTGTATGCTAGAAGCACAGAACAAGAAAAGCACTGATGATCCAATTCTTTTGGCCTTCTGATTCTGAAGTGAAAAAGGAGAGGGTTTTTTCCCCCCCTTTGTTTGCTGTGTCTCTTTTGTGTCCCATCACTAGCTTCCCACTGGCCCCAGGAAGCCTGTTAACTAGGGGAGAGCATGGCTCTCCACCTTTAACTCTCCTTTGCTGATACGGCAGATCCTGGAACCCCCTCCCCCCTTTTTCTTCCCATGGAAGAAAGCTAACACTGCTTAGAATAGAATAGAATAGAATAGAATAGAATAGAATAGAATAGAATAGAATACTTTACTGTCACTGCATTCCATGAATACAATGAAATTTGAAAGCTACTCCAGCACAGTGCCCCAAACACCACATCACATTCACACTACAGAGTATTTAAAAATTAAAACAATAACAACAACAATAATAATAATAATAACAACAACAACAACAACAACAAATGCACTGTTTGATTCAAGACAATTACTGCCTTGGAAACGAAACCGTTTCTCAATCTATTAGTCCTCATTTTAAGACACCTATCACGCCTCCCTGATGGTAACAGATCAAAATATGAATGTCCAGGATGAGGACGGTCTGTGGAGATTTTTAGTGCTCTAGAGAGGAGTCTGGTCTTCGCAATCTCTTCCAAAGAAGAAAGAGAGCAACCGATGATTTTTTGTGCTGTGTCTGGAGCATCTTCTTATCTACTGCAGAGCATCCAGCATATCACACCGTTACACAGTATGCCAAAATGCTCTCGATGGTAGACTGGTAAAAAGTAACCAGCAACTTCTCACCCAGACCGCTCTTTTTCAGCAACCGCAGGAAGTGCAGGCGCTGTTGGGCCTTCTTTGCAGTGGCCATAGTGTGGACTGACCAAGTAAGGTTGTCGGAAATCTGAGTTCCTAGAAATTTAAAACTATGAACTCTTTCCACACAGTCTCCATTGATATATAGTGGGAGAGGCTAACACTGCTTAGTTTTGCTATGAGAGCAAAATATGGAGGTGATTTCCATTCTTTCCCTCTTTCACCCAAGGAAACAGATTAAAGAAGCAGCTGCCTTTCAAAGCAAAAAGGTCTCTGAAAAGTGTGAAGTCAGTTGGTAAGGTAAAGGTTCCCCTCGCACATACGTTCTAGTCATTTCCGGCTCTAGGGGGCGGTGCTCATCTCCATTACAAAGCCGAAGAGCCAGCGCTGTCCGAAGATGTCTCCGTGGTCTCGTGTCTGGCATGACTAAACACCGAAGGTGCACAGAACGCTGTTTCCTTCCCACCCAAGTGGTCCCTATTTTTCTATTTGCATTTTTACGTGCCAACTGCTAGGTTGGCAGAAGCTGGGACAAGTAATGGGAGCTTACTCCGTTACACGGTGCTAGGGATTCGAACTGCCAAACTATTGACCTTTCTGATCGACAAGCTCAGCGTCTTAGCCACTGAGCCACCACTAAGTCAGTTGGTAAGCAGGGAAGTAGATAGGACTCCCCACAAGGTCTGCCCTGGCAAGTGACCTGCCCCGGGGTTGTAAAAAGCTGTCTTATCCTTCATCTAAAGGGCCAGAAAAAGATGTAAAGAATCAAACTTCTTATCGACCCGGTGGCCTTATCAATTTCTTACCTTTATGCTCCTCTTAAACAGGTACCCAGGTGTTAAGGAGCCTTTCCTAAGTAGTTCACTAAAGATGACTATTTGCTCAAAGAGGAAAACTCTGCGCTCTTTTGGCCGAGACAACCCTCCAGAGTCCTGCTCTGTTACATAGAACGTATCCTGTTGCAACAATTTCCCTTGAGCTGCCAGCTTGCCCTAAGATGGGTGGGAAAAAATAATAATGAAGTCAACATAGATTGAATGGACGCAGGGAAAATAATGTATTTATTTTACTAATTGCTATGCAGTACCTCGTCCTCAGGACAACTTCTATAAATAAAAATGACAACAGTCCAATAGAACACACACACATACACATGAATTTAGCACAAAAATATTTCAAGTGAGTAGGGACAGGGGCTTATATGTAACAGACAACAATCACTAAGGGATCTAATAACTCCCATGGAAATAGAAGCAGTTTAAGATTAAAGAACAAGAACGTACACCCATTTAAAATGCTTCTAGAATGAGTACCCTAAAAAAACATTAGTATAGGTAACAGATGGACATCCTTTAATCGGAGGTGTGGGGGAGAGATCCCCACTCTATTTCTATAGGCAAGGACCCTTCAACCAGGATCTCTGCTAACCATCTCAGAGCACAAATATGAACACAGGGGAAGAAACAGTCCTTTAGATACTGTGATCCCCCAAAAAGGAAAGTTGTAGTATCAATTTGGGTTTGTATATTATCAGATGAAGAAGAATTTAGTCCATATCACCCTGGAGTTCGGTCACATATTCAACTGTCTCTAGCCTGGCATCTTCCCAGTGTGTCAAAATAAAGCTCCCCTAATCCCCAAATAACCGATCTGCAAGCTGCTATGTTCCCCACTGAATTTTAACATTCAATTTAATTTAAACGTTTTTAAAAGAAAGTTGGAAGGTGCGTTTATCTATGGCGAGGTTGATGGGCATGAGAGAAAGGAGTGGAATACCCTAGTCATCTCTATACATACATACATGACACTATAGAAATTGTTTTAGCGTTTGCATTTTGATTTCTTAATCACCAGACCAGTAAGACAGGTTGCGACAACTCTGTCACATTTTAATCAGGGGTGGACACCAAGTGAGATGCCTTCAATAGGTGGTGGCAATAAGAACAAACAACCTGCTACCACAAAGCAAAATGGGATCAGGGAGTTTACCGACCTTCAGCCTACCACTCTGGGAACTTCAGCATTCATAAGCCTAAAAAAATAGGCTCTGCTTTAATAACAGAGGATGAGCGTCTGTAGAGATTCTCATCATCCAGATCATGGTTGTCCCAAAAGTGCTTTTTCAGGAGGCTGCTTTTTTTTTTCTTTGAAGACCTTTTGCTTCTCATCCAAGAAGCTTCAAGAAAGTCCAGTTACCTCCTGAAAAAGCACCTTTGGGACAACCATGATCTGGATGATTGAGAATCTCTACAGACTTTTAGCTATACAATTTGGGGTGAACATCCCTGAATGGTGTGGGAGTAGGAACGGATTTCCAGAGGGGTGGGAGAATTGCGGACTACAGGAACCAGGAGCACAACTTAGGTGACCCTGAGGTCACAGATAAACCTCCAAGTGCTTCAACGACCCTCTAAAAGGATGCAAATGACCAGCTGCCTGCAAGGAGTATAAATCCTTCCATTCCATCCTGTCAGAGCTGAAGAAACTTCTTGGATGAGAAGCAAAACATCTTCAAAAGAAAAAACAAGAAAGTCCAGTTGCTTCCAGAAAAAGCACCTTTTGGACAACAGAAGATGAGTTCTGTTCTCAGAAACATTTTCAAAGAATGTATATATATTATATATATTTTCAATACTACTGTATATAAATCTAGAGGACTAGAGGGCAGCTCCTAATATTCCCACTGCTAATAGCTAGAAGTGTTGAGAAGAGGCCATTATACATTCTTAAAGTTTCCAAGAAGCCTCAGTCATTTCTTCAAGAAAAAAAAAAGCAACTGGCATTACTGAATAAGAAAGAGGGCTACCTCAAAGCCCTGCAGTCGTCCCAGATTCATCATGTCATTGCAGCGTTTAGGAACAAGGCTCATCAACTCCACAGCTTTCTGTAAGAGAAGGGGAGCAGAGTAAATATGGGAACAGATAAAAAACTGTCTGGACCCCCCTGGCTAGGACCACACGTGGAGCAACCCTTCCAGCTAGAGAATACAGATCAGAACCAGAAATCAGGATATATTGTCAAGAGATGCCCCTTCATCAAATCGACCTTTGAAGAAAGGCAGCTTCCAGCCGATCTAAATCCACTGATTATTTTTAAAGAGCTTGGATAACGTTTTCTTTGGAAAATATGTAAAGACGAGTGGGTCTCAAGAGGCATTTTCAGAAACTGACGGGTAACTATGAACTCATGCTTTGTTGCCCACTTGCTCGGAGGAAGGGTGGGTGGAAGGAAGCAATTCAATCTTCAATTAGAAATATCCAAATGTATTATAACTAAGTATTTTTTTAAAAAAGTATATCAGTCACTAAATAAAATAAAAGCTGACAGATAAACTGTACCTCTGTCTCCGAGCAATCCAATCCAGCCTTTTCACTATATTTCAGGAAATCCTATGGGAAAGAATATCATTCTTTAAAAATAATTAACATTTTAATGCACTTTTAAAGATGAATATGACTGTCGTCTTCTTGCAGAATTATCTGGAATTATACTTAAACCTATTTTATGCATAGTACATACCATCTGATTATATACTTAATAGAAATTTATGACTGAAGTTATATACTTGGTTTAGATTATGACACTCCGAGTGCAATACAAGCCAGAGAAATAGCTCAATCTGCCTGTGGTCATAGCTTTTCTTCTGTATAAGAGATAACTAATGCCAACCGAAAGGAAGGCTGGAAGTTGCACTTTTTACTATTAAAAATGTTACTATTCTTCTAGGAACTATTAGAATTCCAAAATTAAGGATAAGATGTGGAAAGAAAGAGAAAAAAGAGTTCCATAAAAGAGATGCCACCATCTTGATTTCAAAGGCTTGATCATAAATAACGTTTTACCTTGCCTGAGCAATAGAGGCACACAGAACAGGGTTCCTGATGAAGACTGTAGCATTTAGCTCAGTAAAGCTTTACTAAAATTATAGAAGACTTTTTACATGAATCCGTGCATGTGTGTGCTTTTAAAAAAAACACACAGCTAAAACCAGTGGAGCTAGGTAATTAGATATCTGGTTCCAACAATAATTCATCATCATGCCCTGATGGGTGATGGTGAGATTATCTAGACAGGCATGTACACACATGCTTCTTGGAATAGCAATCAGGCTCAACACCATGATACCATCAGGAAGCAGTCCAGCAAACACCAAAAGAATTAAAGTTGATTTGCACAAACTGGAGCAAACTGGCTAATTATTACTGCTGGTTAAAACATGTAAACATAATACTTAATTATTTATTTATTAAATTTACAGAGCTGCCCATCTCCCCTTAAGGAAAGCCTCTTAATTATATTTCACTCACAGATGGATTTTTCATATACCTCACGTTTGTTATCTTTTGATGTGCTTTACCTTGAGAAGCAACTGGTACTTGGTTATTCTTTGAATGGGCTTAATTAAGAAGTCACTGAGAGTTAACCGCTGGTTTATTTCTTGTTGCACTTCCTATAAAATGAAAACAGGAGAAATCACTGCTGAGAGAAAATAATTCATTTCTCCTTTGCTTCCCCCCCCCCCCCCGTGGAACTCAAAGGAGCATATGTGTGATCCAATCGGAACACTGATCACACTTACAGTTTCTCAGATTTAGCAATTTAGTCTGAGGTTATGGAACATCTTACAATGAGCAGCCCATCATTTAAACGAAGATAGTCTGTCAAGACTGTAATGAGGGATGGTTTGTAAAGCATTTCTGGCCATTGCAAAATGTTGCACTACCATTCTATATCACATGATCACTGTCTGGATGTTTGGCAACCTGTTCGCACTTACGACTGGGTTGCCAAGTGCCCTACGATCAGATGATCATCATTTACCACCTTCTCTGCAGATTTCCCCCGAAAGTCAATGCAGAAGCTGGCAGGGAAGGCTGCCAGCTGCTGTTGCCTGCTTTGGCAGGCAGCTTTTTCAAGCCATCCCCAGAGACAAGAGGGAGCTGAAATCCAAGTGGAGAATGGAGAAGTAGCACAGTAAAAGGTGCCTTGGGCAGCTGAGGAAGATCCTTGGTGCAAGTGTCTCTCTCCACTCAGGAGCTGAAAAGCCTCCTTAGATTTTGGCAGGGTGGATTTTTAATTCCTCAGCTAAGATTTTTAGTTCCTTGCCATAGTCTCCCCTACCCCACCAAGGCATACTTGGAGCTCCAACCACTTAAAGACCCATGAGATTGCTCAACATCTGCAACCAGGAGTACTGAGATTGTGATCGTCGAGCAAAACAGTCGCATGACATCTCACTTAACGACCATTTCACCCAATGACTGAGGTTCCATCTCAGCTGTGATTGTAAGTCAAGGACTACCTGCTTGTAACAAGCAGAGTGCAATTATTCAGAAAATATCTGATAACATGCTTTTTCTACATACGTTTATGTAACCAGTCATGAATGTGTTTCAAAATAATGTAAAACATAACGTAATAATGTAAAATGAATGGCTTATTTGATATATTTATAAGAAATTTAGCCTTACTTTTTACGAAAATCAATGCCAAATTATCAGCAGTACTTATCATTCAGAGCATTATTTAAACCGAAAGTAACCCTAACTTGCAAGTAAAATTGAAAACAGTGTTATCAGGAATATAATTTCTATATTAAAGTTTTAGGGAAAGTTTCAATTTGATTAAAATTTAGAAACTAGTCACAGTAGTAAGGAACCACTCTCTTCCGTTCCTTACTCATTCATTCTCTACTTTTGCCAGCTAAAAAGCAAAGTATTACCTGAGAACAAATATTCACTGCTAGCAATGAGGAAGCATTTACTAAAAAAGCAAAAAAAAAAAAAAGAGCAAAGCCAAGAGCCCAAGGTGGGAAAAACTTTCTGATGCAAATCCATGAATATATACCATACGTGAAAAGAGAAGAAAGAAGAAATCAGGAAATCATATCCGAGCTGCGGCACAGGACAGGCATCCAAACTTACCTCAAAATATGGACCGCATTCAGCTACTATATATTCTGATTTTGGTTTGTTTTGACAGTATACCACGTACATGTGCAATCGCCTCTCCTGTAAAAAAGCAAATACACAGCTCTCTTAGAATTAGCAGATGTTACAACTTTCACAGCTATTGGGCAGAGCTGAAAAATGAATTTAATCATGTACTTGCACATTTTTTTTTCTGTCTGCTAATCTAATTTTAAAAAAAAATGATAGGAGAGCCATAAAATCTGCGGTGGTTCTGCCTGTTCGGCCTGGTTCTGGTGTACCGGTAGTGCCAAAGATCAGAACCGGTTCGCTTCAAGTCTCTCCGATGCTTGGCAGTTGGGCCCACCTGCCCGCCCTTGCTCCTAGGTCCTTTTTAACCTCTCAGCTGAATGGCGTGACAGAGCGGTTTGCTGTGCTAAACAGCTGAGAGGCACAGTAGCTTAGTTTTTACTATTTTAACACATGCGCAAAGCGTGCATTTGGCACACATGCACAATCATGCGAGTCGCATGAGTCACGCCATCCCACCCCTGCAGCCACACCCATAGAACCGGTGGTGGGAACTATTTTCTGAAAATACCAGAAATGATGAAACAGGGCTAGTTTTCGGCCTGCAAAGCCTGCAGAAGCCTTCCTCAAGCCTTTGGGAGGCCGAAAAAGGCCTCAAACTGGCTGAAAATCCGCTGTGAGGCATAGTGCAGGTAAGGGGGCAGCCAGGTGGATGGGTGGGTTATGGGGGGCACACATTGTTTTCTGGGTGCTGGCACACGAGCGCGAGCGTGCAAGCGCACACGCGCGCACACAATTTTTGGCACAGGAGCCCAAAAAGGTTAGCCACCACTGATATAGATAATAAGCTGGGGAAAGCATTCAGATGGGGCCACTAACCAAAGCCACCTTTTTTTTTACAGAGTTTCAATCTGAATCTATTCCTTCTCTCTCTCCCTCTCTCCCCCACCCCTCTCTCTCACACACACAGAGGTTGGATTGGATCTCTTAGGGGGGAAAAATCGAACCACTGAAGAATGATATACATCACTCCAATCCCATGGGGTAAGAATAGAACAAAACCATGATTGATGGCACTGAAAGTCACTGTGAGATTAAGAAGGACCGAGAGAGTTGGATTCTCTTTGTCTCTGTTTCCCAAATGTGACCCTGCAGTTCTTGGTTTGAACTCTGATTGCTATCAATTCAGATAACCTTTTGCAGGATAGATTCTGGAGTGTATAAGTTGAAGGTGTGTGTTCAGATTTTATACATCTATATATCACTGGATATTTTTTCCTTGTAGACCTGTATCCTGAACACAATGACAAGACTATATATAGCTAGGAAGAAAAACCTAAACATTATGTGTAATCATTTTAGTTTAGGTAAGTTAAATGTCCAGCAAAGACTCCTTTTTTACTATTTTGTTTAAATGGTAAGAAAATGCTAAGCAAAGCATAGCATTCTTGGATTACGACTGAAATTAAAACATGCTTATATCTAGAAAATAAAAATGTATGAAATAGTGTATTTTTATAACTCATGGAAAATCAGAATATCATGACCTCGAGTATGTAATTCTTATTTGATATCTTTTAAAAATGATGCCGTAAACTGAGAAAATATAAAATGCATTTAATTTCTAAGAAAAGTCTAACTTGTAACTCACATGTTTGATGAACAGCTGTGCTAAACGGTCATGTTCCTGAAGGCATTTTTCCAATTCAGCAAGAAAAAAACTGCAATATAAAATAGGCAAACTATGCTCAAAATCTCTTTTCTCTCTTTTCCATTATGCCCCATTAGCACATTGTATAGTTCTATAATTAGAAAATAAACTTGATGTTACACTAGTTATCTCTGAAAACTTAATCTGTTATTTTGCTAATGTTCAGATAATTTTTCTAATATCATTCATGTGAGTGTACAATAAATGGCTATCTGGATCCACCCCAAATCTCCCTCCCAATAATAATATTCTTGTTATCTTTGACTCAATTTGGGCAGTTAATGCTATGGAGGGAATCTAATTAAATATATAGAAATTATAACTTGACTTTCATTATGATCTTGCTATTAACAAGTAGAATGGTAATTGTTCCTATGTGGAAGAAGCATTTATAAGACAAGTTTCCTTTACAAAGTAAAACAGTTAAATAAGAAACGTAGCAAAATGTTTTGGTAAATATATTTCTTATTACTGGTAAAAGGCCATTTAATATATATTAATTAATAAATTTAATTAATACATAAATTGTTGGTTTATCAACTAAGATAAAAATCTGGTTGCTATTAAAATTGGTTTTTATTCTGTAGCTCAATGTGTTTGGACTGAACCAGACCTTCCTAGTAATGCTACGCATCAAGAAAAAAATTATTCAAATATATATACCCTCTACTCAAGAAGGCCTAAATCAGTCCTAGCTACTTTTGGTTACGGAATAAAGATCAATCTAGGTAATGAATTTCTCTCCTTCTTATTTTTCATGATATTGGTTCTTGTTTGGATGATATTCTTACTGAGTACAGGCAGTCTTCAGGTTACAGGTACTTGTTCAGCAAGCACTGAAAGTTATGACAGTGCTGAACAAGTGATATGTACACTCTGAAGTGCCTTCCTGTCTCCCCACTAGCCCTATGTAATGCCAATTCACAGCCCCCGCTGACCAACCCCTATTCTGCAGTGGCCACGCACAGCCCCCACCCATACTCTAGCATGGCCCATGGCACCCCCAACCTGTCGGAGCACCCTCCTGCATTCCTGGTCTGGATCCTGTCACTTCTTGCTTAATGACCTGCTCAGTTTTGAGGTTATAACAGCAACTGGGATTGCCAAAATTGTTGTCGCAAAGCAATGTGATCATGTGATGTCATGCTTTATGACCACACTGTTAATGATGGAAATTATGGTCCTGACCCAAGGATCACCTGTACTGTATATCCCTAGAGAAGAGGTGTCAAATTCACGTCATCATATGGCGTATCACTTTTCCCCCTTTCGCTAAACCAGGCATGGGCGTGGCCAGAGCGTGACGTATCCAGCCCATGGGCCATGAGTTTGACAGCCCTGCCCTAGAGCATCCCCTTTCAAATATACACAGCTTGTTCCTTTTTTATTTTTGTTTAACTTTTATTACATATTATGCTTACTAAATGATTAAAAATATGGTAAAATAACTATAGCAGAGCTGTGTTCTTTCAAGACAATGATAACCACATATAATTCTAGCAAAAAGGTCCAACAGAAAGAGGGGCTGTGGTTTACAAACTCCTCTCCCTTAAATCCCCATTTTATTCTCTGTCTTTCCAGATAGCACCCTCATATAAATTGTAGCCTCATCTGAATGTTGCATTTCCTTGCAAATATACTCTACTCACATTTCAGACAGTTGTCATGCCAACAATTAATTCCAACTGGCAGTCCTTAATGTCTTAAAATAAATATTGTTTAAAAATGCAAAATCCTATTGATCCTTACATGACACAGTTTTAAATAACAGAAAGGGCCAGGATTATAATTCCAGCGACAAAAGAACAGTAAATACCATACAATAGCAACCCTTGTTTTTTAAAAAATAAGTCATAATCTTCTTCAGCTAATGCCAACAGCTAAAGAAGAACTGGGGCAGTTCTGGAACAATGTTTTCCCTGTATGTTAGTTACAGTAAACCAGATAAGAATCACAAATAGATGAGCTAATTCTGTAGTACTATAAAACTACATTGACAGAATACATAAAGTCAATCTTTAGAAAAATATACAAAAGTTATCATTAAAAAAAAAAATCACTAAATATTTAAAATATACAAACTAGATGGAGAGAACGAAGATCAGTGCAATGGCAGGTTGGAATATGACTACTAATAATGTTCTATGAAAGCCGTATTAAACAAATCCATGATGGGTAGTAGATTTCAGTATCAATGGATTTATCTGGTTTTGATCATGACATATGGAAAACTGCCATGACTTTAGTCTGTCTGTAATGTCACACTAAAAACCATGAATTAGCAAGTGAAAGGAAGAAAAATACATATTTCATTTGTCTGTGAAATTAAGGGAAGGGAGGAATGTAACAGATCTAAATTCAGGTAGCCTAATCTTGAGAAATTGTGTTGAAGAATACACACAATAAAGTGGAATACTTCCTTGTGATAATTAAATAATGAAATTATAAAAAAACATGTATCATCTAGGTTGCTATGGATGCGTCTGCAAGCAGGAGCATATAGATCTGTTATTGTCTGATGAATGAAGATACTGGAGGACCTACGGGTGAATTTGGAGGGAATCTGTGCACCATTCTACATGAATGCAACTCAAGGCAAAAAATTCAATGCAACCCAAGGCAAATGCAACCGAAGGCTATGAGGTGATAGAACAGATGGATGGGAATGAGATCAGACCAAGGAATTAATGCCAATGATAACTTTTTGGTCAGCATATGCTTAAAATCACTCTCTGTGTTTCAAATACATGCCTGAAGCATAAGTCTAATTATACATATGTGCAGATGGGAAAAAATGGAGCAAAAGGCACAAGTGATTTAACAGTTTACCACAAAATTGTGAAAATGAATGAAGGATACAAAGGTAGCAAGATGTTCTGAATGTAGGACAAACCATTATTTAGTAACATCAAAAATGAATTGTGGAGAGAAAAGGTTGAAAGAAACCAAATAAAAGCAGAATGACCATTGGGATATGCATTTATGTCTCATGCCAAAACATATACACGTTCTAACAGAAAGCACAGAAAATGTGCATATATAAAATGTCTACAGAAAGCACTTAGAATACAGCCAGGAGTGGATCTATATCTGGATATTTGGGTTGTATGCAAATGAGAGAAGAAAGGGAAAAGCAATGACTCTGGTCAAATTACACACACACACACAATATTGTACAATTGAACATTAGTTGTTTATAGTAGAGTGTAGACTTACTCTTTGTGCCAATCATAGATCTGGTGAATGTTTCCAAACACAATCTTGTCTTTTCCTTTCATATCTTCAGGAACACCTTTTTCTTCTATTCTTTTCATAAATCCCTTGATAAAGGAAAAAAAAAGAATGATTGAGCAATGGGAGACTGGAATATGACCAGTAATAATGTTCATTTTTCAAGCAAACAAAATCAACTACTCATTGTAATAGCAGATATTTACATGCAAGATATCAAGGCTCCGTTCGTTCCTTTATTAATATTTTAGAGATATGTCAAGTTTAGATGAGCCTTAAGGACTTTCTGACAACTTGTTTAGATGAGTCTAGCTTTTAAGAATATTTAGAATGGCTTGCAAAAAGTCAGTATTAACTAGATTGTGATTTAAAAGTTTCCAATATTAACCTTTTACTGAATACAATATTAACCTTTATATCTAAACTAATTTATTTTGACTTACCTCCACCACAGTTCCTAAGTCCTTGACATAGTCTTTCTCTGTTTGTATCAGTTCATTTAGAACAAACCTAGAATTCAAAAGAGGTGTATATAGGTTTCACAAGGCCTCTACTCTAAGCACTGACCAAAATCAATCTTAAAGTAGTGTGACTAATTAGTCAATAATGCAATTCCCATTAAGCAAGAAATTCTGAATAGTGCTGAATTTGAAGATGAGAAGATGAGCTGAGAAGAAAAAAAGGCCAGGTCATAGAAGCTGGCTGAAAGCAAACTCCTCTTCTACTGACTTTCTTAATATGTAAAAATAAAAAATATATGAAGAACTAGGTTTAGATTGCTCCCATTGTGTTCAGCAGAAGTGATTGCTTTTAAATGTCTTATGTCTTCAGCATGCTTTTAATTGAACCAAGGCAAGGCCAATGGGTAAAAGGCACATGCTGGCTAATGTCTACACTTTTTTTGTCCTACAGTACTTGATTCTGATATTATCACTCTTACAAATGTATACATTTTAGACTCCACTCAATTTTATACAAATAGTTTTTTTTCTAGCAGAATAAAATGTGCTCTCCTCTCCACTTATGGATATACCAAATCCATGATGAGAGCCAGTTTGGTATAATAGTTAAGGTGCTAGCTTAGAAACCAGGAGACCATGAATTCTAGTGCCACCTCAGTCATTTAAGCTGGCTGGATGACTTTTGGCCAGTCTCTCTCAGCCCAACCTACCTTGCATGGTGATTGCTGCTGTGGGGAAAACAGCAGTAGGAACGAGTATTAGGAATGTTTACTGCCTCAAGTTACTTACAAAATAACAAAGACAGGATAAAAATCTAAGAATAAACAAATTTCTCTCATTAATATGGGTTGCGGCTGGAGAGGGAGTTTCTTTCCACACAAATTTCTAAGATACTAGTGGTAGATGGCATCAGATATAGAGTTGGAAAACAGATCAATAACAAATTAACTTACATCCTGCCTCTCATTGCTTTGGCCTTTTGTTCCTCTTCAAGGTTTCTTGAAGGAGGGGTTGAAGGTGTCACAATCTCATTCAAACATCCAGTACTATCCTTTAAGCTTCCTCGGTAGGAGCCCCCTTCCAATGTCTTAAGAAACAAAGGAGGGGAAAAAGACAAAAGATTAAACTAGAAATTATAACTACTAACTAGACAATACATTACCTTATTTTTTTCCCCCTGATATTCTAGATTTATAAAAATTAATCATGAATAAAATATTTCAGTATTTGTTTAATGCTATAGGAAAAAGGTTTTTAGCATAACAGGAGTGTTGTCTGAATAGCAATTCTTCTAACTAAAGAGATAATCCATTTTTCCTCCCAGGATCAGATGCCTATCTATAAGCAGAGATTAAACGACTGTTTCCCAGTTCACAAAAATTACAGAAAATTGGATTAACAGCTCAAAATGTTGAGCAGAAATCTAGATACACGAAAAAGGAAGAAAGTAGAAGGCTGATATAAAACCATAGGCACAAAGTTAATTTTGAAAGGAATCAAATTAAAACAAATTGGTATATTATAGCCAGCCTCAATATTGAGTTGCTGTCACTTTTCTTTCAGCTGGCTGAGTTATTTGTAATGTTTAATTATTAAAAAGCATCATGTAATACTGTTTAGTTTTAAACACAATCTTTGGAGCTCTTTTATTCTGTTCAAGAAAGCTTGTTACTAAACATTCTTAGCTAAGATTTTTGTTCCTGTTCACGTTCCTCATTGCATTATACAGACTTCATCTATACATAAAGTGGAGTTCTTTAACGGAAGGTGAAACATTAAAATGAATATACGGCTTCATAAACAATGCCAAATATCTTTGAACCAGTTTCCAGAACTAACTCTATAAAGGCAAAAAAGATGTGACTACCATACATGAAACAATAAGCATCAATGATAGCAAACATTTAAAAAAACTAACATGCTTGAGAACATTTTCATGACAGCACTTCAATGCATTTTATATCGGGTCACATTGACATTTTTTCACTTCAAAAAAGTTGTGGTGACAAGAAAGCTGCAATCACATGCCTGGAGGCTTATCAAATAATGCACACAATATGTAAGTCAGCACTGATCAATTTTACAAAGATGTTATCTCAGTTTATAACTAAAAGGACTATAGAACACGTTTGGTTGGATATTCAAATGTGCAGAACAACGAAGATGAGAAAAGCAGGGTCGGATGGCAAAGAGACTAGTTGACTTTCCATGTAGCTAGGCTACAGTGTTCTCCAGTAAATCTCAGGTGTCTACACTTACCAGCTTGCTTTTGACCAATTTTTCTATTGCACTGACAAGATCCGCAGCAGTTGGCACATCAGAGCTGGTCTGTCGAGAAGCTAGCAAAGAGGAAGACTGCAAGACACCAGTTTGCAAAGGAACAGGAGGTTAGCAGGAATGAGACGAGGAAAGCGGTTAGCAGTTTGAGGTCATACATTAGGTTTAAAGCAGGGGAAACATGGAGGAAGCATGAAGAGCTTATGGGGGAAGGGAAAGACCATGACATATACAAGGCACAGGACTCAGCAACAGACTGGCATTCTCCCCTCAAAAGAAACCCTAGTTCTGAAGCCACGATTAGAATTTATGTCCATGATGGTTCGAAGTTTTTTTTCTACAAAACGCAACATAAAAATGCCCTAGAGAACAGGTTTCTTCTTGCTTACATATTCTTCTGAACCAACAGATGCTAACTATGTAAAGTATTTGGGGATGTGGGGAAGAAGAAGGCTTTGCTTCTTCTCAGCCTATAGTACACGTATTTCTCTTCTTACTGTGTTCATTTTTATACTTAAATAGCAGAAGGAAAGAGTTGAATCAAGCTAATTGTATTTCTAGTCTGGTATGTATTTTATCTGCAAAAATCTTTCTGTACTATGCACGATTGCTGAATGCTGCTAGGTATTCAATATATAATTGAAGATTAAAAACAAAAAAGGACTTAAGACTGTTACTTCTTTCCACTGACATCTTTGAAAACATGAGTGAGGAAGAGTGATAAGAATGTCAGCTGCTACCATCTTTATTCCATTAAACCTATCCAACAAGAATCTACAAAAGAAAGCAAAATAGCTTCAGTTCATGCTACGATTTTTGTGGGCAACACTTCACAGAACATTAGATATATCCAGAATTGCTTCCCACTCATTTTCTACCTTGGGAAAGTAACGTTTGAAGCAGTTACTCTCCAATTCATATATTCTGTTTACTTGTCTGCTACTTTTCAAGTAGTAACATACATGGTTTCTGAATGTGTAAATCAGGGGTGTCAAACTCAAGGCCCAGATTCAGCCCACAGGATGCTTAGATCTGGCCCAAAGGGCTGCCCTGGAAATAGCGAAGGACCGGTCCACGGTGCCTCTGCCAGCAAAAATGGAGCTTAGGAGGGCCATGAGCAGCCCTCCTGTGCTCCATTTTCACTGGCAGAGGGTTGCAGGAGGCCGTTGCAGCTGAAAATGGAGTTCAGGAACCCATTTTCACTGGCAGAGAGCTTGGGCCACCACAGGCACCCTAACACGAGTGACGTCGAGCTGGCCACGCCCACCACAGCCACACCCATTCCACCCCCCGAGGTCTAACACAGAACTAATGTAGCCCTCAATGAAATTGAGTTTGACACCCCTGGTGTAAACTCTACATAGATTCTAAAGGTTAGATCCTGGGATTTAGTTATTTTAAAACCAGACAAGGAATATGGTATTTCTGGAGCAAGAAAAAATATGGGGTCTGAAAAGAACAACTGGGGCCTTATACATACTATTCATCTTCCTTTCTTGAACACACATCCACATATACAATTTTTGGCATATCAAACTCACTTTGAAAATTCTTAGCATAAATTAGATCTCCAGTGATGAACTGTATATGGCAACATGTGTTTCTGACTCACTCCTGCTTTGAGGGTACTACTAACAAAGAGGCACATGCAATGGGCTGATTCTGACTCCCAAAATACTCAAAAGCAATACTGCACGCTCTCAAAAATATTTTTCTCCATATTCCACTTCTTCTATGCAAAAAGAAACTGAACATAGCCAAAAAAAAAAAAAAAACACCATACAATCAATTTGAGAATTGTGTGACACCTAGATGTGGGTCACCTGTGTTCTTGACGGTAGATGGCTCTTTATAAACTAATCTTTACATATAACTTAATGATCTCCACAGGTGTAGACTTCCCTGAAAGAGGAGTAAAATAATCAATGTTCAAGAAAACTGTAGTGAAATTAATAAGTGTAGCTGAATTGGACCCAAGTAGTGACAGGCAAATAACTCTCTCAATAAAATGGAGTATTGTACAAGCATTAGGCAGCAGTGCCAGGTGAAGGTTTGCTAAGAACTGTTGCTGAGTGATGTATCACTCTTGTTGCTTATTCCCTAAGAATATTGCACACTAGGAATTTTGTCTATCTTCTCTCATTGATTCTATGTGACTAATTCCAGGTTATGAGAAAGATTACTTTTACATGGAATGCAGAAGTATTAACGCTTACTAATAACAGAGCCATGCAAATTTCAAAAGTTATTCTGAAATACTGTAGTATTTCAGATCATGTGCAAGCAGAGTATCGCTACTCATTACAGAAGCCCACGTTTTTTCAGATTTCTATGTCAACCAGAGTCACGGGATCTAAAATACTTGCTCCAAACAGTTTTCAAAGTGAGTGCAACCATAATGGTTAAATATACTGTATATTTAAGGAAAGTAGAGTTGATGGCAAATCTCTTTTCCCTTGGGAAAGTAAGGACTTGTAATTTATTTTAACACTTTGGCTATATACAGACGGCCTTGCAGAGTCACCATTTGTTTTCACTACAGCTCATTCAATAAGCACTGTGACTGAATTCAAATACTCAGGGGTGGGATTCAAATTTTTTAACAACCAGTTCTGCGGGTGTGGATAGGTGGGCATGGCCATGTGACTGGGTGGGCATGGCTTCTTTGTCTTCTTCTTTTTTGCAGCACTCTCCCACACTCCATTTTGGGGCCTCCTGGGCTTCAGGGAAGCCTCCTGAGAGGCGTTTTTGCTCCCAGAAGGCTTCCCTGAGGCCCAAGAAGGCAAAAAAAAAATGGAGCGTGAAGGGGGGCGCACATCCCATCCCCATGCACCACTTTTTGCCTCCTGGGCCTCAGGGAACCTTCCTGGGTGAAGCAGTAAGACAGCGAGGGGGATCCCAGCACAGTTGATCGTTGGAACAGCTGGTCGTCGGGAGTAAAAAAAAGAAATACCTTAAGGAGTGACTGGGTGGGAGAGAATGCAGTCAGCAATGTCAGACATGTGCACGATGTTGTGCATGCACGATAAGGACTGACTGGGTGGGGAGGGGTGGGTGGAGAGGGGCGGGGCCAGCCAGGGGGATGATTTGCCGGTTCTCCGAACTGTGCAGAATTTTAACAATCGGTTCTATAGAACCGGTCTGAACTGGTAGAATACCACTTCTGCAAACACTACACTAAGCCATAAACCATGGTATGCAAACTGCAGTGGCTGAGTGAACACAACCAATTACATTATGACTTTACATGTTGCATGAACTCAGACATATAATCCTTCCAAGTCAAGAAAAATCCACAACATCAACTATTCTTCTGTCTTCTGATCAGAAAGACAGTAAATACTGCTCTATTGGCTTTTTCTCCCTGAAGTTATGCAACATGTCTAGATTATAAATGAAGTGCTCCAATCTTTAGCAATCCATGAAAATACAAATTCCAAACATTAAAGTTTTTGTGGTATTCGGTAGCACAGAAGTATTTTTATTTGCTTGCAATCAAAAGAGCAGTAGGAAGCTGAAAACTATATTGGGAAGTTGTAATCCAAGAGCAAGGGGCATTCTCTGTAGAACATTCTAACAAAATGACCTTCTCTAACAGTTTATTGCTCCAAATAAAGGCATGGTTATTAATTATTACCTCCTCCCAATAAGAAGCAGATTATGGGGAGAAAGGTTAAGAAATCAGCCTTCAGGAGAAAAAATTACCTAGTCCTTCTGCTGTTTCTCACAAATCTATGGTAAATTCTGAATCAATAACTTACTTTTGGATTTGTTGCTGTGGAATTATTATCTTACTTCTCACAATGCAGGATGACTCATGAATTACTAGATAAAGAATAACTAAAAAGGTTTCATATGAAAAATAGATCATTTTGACATATTTATAAAAAAGATGCTCAAGGGAAGAATAAGACAGACTTCTGCCAGTTGACAATCAATTCTAGATAACTGAAGTAAAAGAAAATTAATGACTAGAAGATACGAGTAATATACAAAAGGAGAATGGTGGAATACACATAGCTTCAAACAAGTTGGGAGATGATAAGAGCTGTTGTTCAAGACCACTCGAGTATTAACTGCTATAAAATAATTGTTATCAGATACTTTTCTTTGGATCCAAAGAAGTTCACTAAAGTTTAAGAATTCCCCCTGACAAGGTCAATAAGAGAAAATACGCTTCCATAAAGCAATCCTTTCCTTGTTTTTTGTTGTTGTTGTTGTAGCAGGAAAACATTTGGATATGACTTTAAAAATTACTCTATTTATGGAAGAAGATGGTAATAAAATAATGCCCAAAGTGAACTCAACATTTTCCCTATAATGGAATTCAGAAGAGTTTACTGTATTCAGAATGTTCTTGGTTGGTGACTGAACTTTAATAAACTATGAAGAGATCTGACTGCTAAGAAGTCCAAAAGTCCAAACAAAATAAATGAAAAGCATCATTTAATACTCATAAAAAGTATGAATGTAAAAAAACCCCTCAAACTACAAATTTAGACAGGATAAATTATAAGACTTAGCAGGAAATGGACATCAATACACAAATATACTTTATCACTAAGATTTTGAAAGTAGATGGTTCGGTTCCATTTTTTTTCCTAGGAAAACATCAACAAATAAAACAAAACCACATATAGCAAACTTGATGTTTTAGATCCTAATGGAATTCCCCCCACCTTTTCTTTTTAATGAAGTTATGCCAAGGAGAAATGTAGGTTAGAGCCTTACCATCTCATCTTGTGTAGGATCATTATCAAAAATCTTCATTGGAGGAGGAAGTGGTGTATGAGATTCTTCATCTGGTTCATCTTCACCCCAACCTTTCTTGCTCTTCTGAAAGCAAGAGAATCGTGTTTACAAAGAGTGAACAAGATAAAGGAAAAAAAATGGTCTAAAAAATAGGACCAAGGATGGAAAAAAAGAAAAGAAAACCTCACAGAAAAATGAAATCGGTTTTATGTTTCATTATATTAAAATCAATTTGAATTCAGTATACAAAAATCAAATAAATGAATGAATTCTTGCTTCTCCCTGATGAAGGCAACTCCCCCTACAGTCTTCTTGAGGATTTGGAGAATACCGTGGGACATAGTGATGGATAACAGGAAAAAACAACAACCCCACACTGTTCTACCACCTTCCTTCTATAACAGGGCCGTCAAACTCGCAGCCCGCGGGCCAGGTGTGTCACATGCTGGTCATGCCCAGTTTAGCAAAGGGGAAGGAGGAAAAGTTGCAATATGTCACGTGATGGTGCCATGATGATGTGAGTTTGAGACCCCTGTTCTATAAGAATCTTCTATTTGCAAAAGAGTAAGTCTCAAGTCACCCCATCACATGGAGCCAAAATGTATTATAATAAGACAACAGTGTATGGGAGAATGAATTTTCACACATTTACTTCCATTGCATAAGAGCTACTTATTGCTTCACTCAAGTAATATTCACAGCAATAAAAGGGCAACTGACTGAGTTCCTGTCATCAGTTCCCAATCTCAGCATTGAACTGTGTTTCCCCCTCCCACATGCCCAGTGATATGCTTAAGGCAGGAAGAAAACACACCACTTCGAAAATCACTACCCATGCAGTGTTCCTGCCACACTTGTAAAACAGGGCCAACCTCACATGAGGATGGGACTGTGGCTGTTCAAGACTGCTTTGAAGGTGGTGGGGAAACAGTAGCTGCAGGGAAGCTGCTGCTTCTCCTTTATAGCAAGGCTCCATACTTTCTGGAGAGAAGAAAAAGAACACTGCAGAGGTCACTGGTAGAAAAAGCAATCTTGTGAAACACCTTCCAGAAAATTATTATTCCTACTTCAGCTTAAGAAAAAAAGGAAAAGAGAATGCTGGTTACTGGGGAGGTCCTGTGCTTTCCAGTCATGTAAAGCAGAAATGGGAATGGAGCCACAGTAGCGCAGTGGTTAGAGTGCAGTACTGCAGGCTACTTCTGCTGACTGTCTGCAATTTGGCAGATTGAATCTCACCAGGCTCAAGGCTGACTCAGCCTTCCATCCTTCTAAGGGGAGGTAAAATGAGGACCAAAATTATTGGGGGCAATAGGCTGACTCTATAAACTGCTTAGAGAGGGCTGTAAAAGCAGCATAAAGTGGTATATAAGTCTAAGTGCTATTGCTATTGTAGACCCCAAAGTAGGCGTGGAGTGGGAATGGTCCTGCAGCAATCCAACTGGAGCTTTTCAGGTCACTAAAATCCTTGAAACTCCTCCTCTACCCAAACCAGAATGTTCACATAGAACATTCACATTTCTTTTGTTTTCCATATGAAAAAAACCCACTTCCCTATTGCTTCAGATTCTTGAGACAAAGACTGTGCCTGGCAAACCTGGCACTGGGATTAAAAGGGTGTGTGAATGCAGTCTAGATTAGACTGTCAATCATGTTTATCAATCAGCTATTGAAAAGCAGAATAGCAGAAATGAAAATATTAGGCTCAAGTTAGTATTCTTTAAACAAAAATGGCTAAGTGTACTTGTACCTCATCGGCGCTATCTCCCTGAGGTGTGGTTTCATCTCCTGGCTTGGGAGATCCTAGGTCAAAGCTCTTCCTTCCTTCACGTACTTTCTTCTGTTTTTTGATGTTGCTGTCAGCCTTCCCACTGTTCAGTCGACGTACAGGGCTCGTCAACCATTTTTTCAGGGTGTTGGTTGAACGCTTTGGACCGGGGGAGCTCTGGATGGAATTGAGGGATGTGTGGGGCTGTAAATTAGCCACAGAATCAGATTTTGCTCCGTTTTCATTGGAGGAGGTAGAATAGGCATCTGCCAGAACAAGAAAATAAAGGTGCTAAGCAACAGTCATCTTAGGCTTGACAATCGCTCTGAAAATAGTGCCTGCAAATTGTTGACAAGGGTTAAAATTAGAAGAGTACATGCTACACCAGATCTGAATTCAATGTACTCACTTCATTTTCCGTTTTTATAGATGACTCCCCACCCTCTCATGCTTTTCTGTTTTCTACTTGAAAAACAGCCTAAATTTTTATTGTCTGATATACTTGATGTTAAGCATCCCCAACAATGAGAACTCCAAGGCAGGCATATTCCTCAAAGAACATTTTATTGGGACATATCAAATTGGCACAAAGTTGGTGGAAAACCAGCTCTACATTCCTGCCGGTTTTACACCCAATTAAAAGTAAAACTTTACCACTTCCCCCCAGAATCACCAGTCACATGGTCCAATCATAATATAGTCCAGTTGTCAGGTGTCTTCAGTCTCCACTTTTTGAATACCTGTACGAATATCTTTGACTCCCAGGGGAAATAATTTTATTCTGTCTACAATATGCCAGTTATCTCTATACCGCCCTCCCTGCCCCTTAGCTCCAGGCTGTATCAGCCCTGAAGCAATGCGAAAAGAAACCTCCTTCGAGGAAAGATACAAAAAAGAAGATGGCCAGAGTTAGGCCATCTTCAAGGTTGACACTTGACACCAATACATTCAGAAACCAAGTTTTGTTTGTGTAGAAAAAACAAAGTTCTGATAGGAACGTTACAAGCAAACTAGCTTTTCTTTCGGCCAGAAAAGTACTTACACTGTGAACTTAAGAAGTCTCCACAGTTCCCCTGTTGAAAACTGTGGAGACTTCTTAAGTTCACAGTGTAAGTACTTTTCTGGCCGAAAGAAAGAAAAGCTAGTTTGCTTGTAACGTTCCTATCAGAACTTTGTTTTTTCTGCACAAACAGAAGTCACCTAGGGATGATACATCTATAAGAGTAACTGATTCTAGCTACTGTATTTTCCTACCACTGTTATTTTCATTCCGTTTAGGCACACAAATCAGCATTAAAACTGGCAAAAGATAAACAACTGCTGAAAAGTGTTCCACTGTGTTATCTTCTGTTTGATAAACCTCTAACTTTTTCCACTTACAAAATTCACATGACTTAGAAGGGGTAGAAACAGAAAAATCCAAACTGTTATCAGACCACAATTCTAAATTTGCTTAGTTTTCACTCCGAAGATAATTTAATCTCCTTCATTCTTTTTTCTCTTCCAATTTTACAAAACAGGATCCATCCCTGAAAGAAGTGTTATACTTTGGAAAAGTTTCAGCTACAGTATCCTTTGCCATGCCACTTCGAACAGCTGGTTAAAACTAGCAGTTACTGAATTAGCTTATGAAACACCAAAATAAATGCCAGCGATCTGAATGCCTGGCAAGCTGCTGAATTGGCACCTCTGTACAATAGAACTTTGTTCATCAGGATAGGAGGCCTGCTGTAAATCAAGCTAGACTTGCAACTTGGAGAATAGTTTTTATTTGTCTCAATCTCCAGTTCTAGCGAGAAACAGCTACAATACTATCAGTAGAGTTTCATGGTTTTATGCTCTTGAATAAAACTATTGCCTACTTCAGTTCCACAGCAAACTATGCATTTAGCTACATATTATTGGACCATGTAATTATCAAATTATTATCTGGGTCTTCCACAAATATGACTGAAAGACAAGTTCTTTACAACTACTTATTTCTACTTTATGAGGTTTTTAAGGAACAAAAGGATTCTTTTTTTAAAGTTGAATTTACAGATATTTTCTCATATCAATTTCCTTTTAGCACATAAAACATGTGAGGTGTACTTTGGAAAGGCTTACATGTCTATCATAACCTTCAACACAGCAAAAAAAGAAATATGAGGAAAAGTGGAGAGGGCTGTGGTTTCAGTGACAGCAATTCATTTTATATCTATATGATTTTTACAGATATATGTAAAACTCTTGGAACTGGTTGAGTTAAACAATGACATTCTATGTAACGTTCTGAAAAACTGAAGTGGGAGTAAAGAACTTGCCTCACTTAGTTACATACAATAGCTACATACAATACAATATATTTGATGAACAGTATTAGCTGATTTGCACTGTGTTTTATTCTATTTTCACTTCCTTCACATGAAGGTACAAGAGGAGGTTATTCTGAAACTACTTTCAAAAATGTTAAAAAGCTCAAAGACTCAATCCATTTCTGTTTTTGCAGTCACAAATAAATATGAATTTAAATGACACTCCTATGCTTTAAAAATACTGGTTGGAACTTAAATAGCAGCATCGTTATATCCCAGTGCTCACCAAATTTCCATTTGAGCAGACTTCCTCTCAAACAGGCATATCAAAAGCACATTTCACTGAGTAAAAACAACTATATTTGTGATGTTAGGAAATTCAGCAGGGTCTTCAAAATAAAGAAATCCAAAGTCTACATTAGGATGCAGATAGTATCTGACCTTTTAACAGTCGTTTAGCGACTATTAAAAGTTACCATGACAATGAAAAAAAATGACTTATGACCAATCCTCCCATTTAAACCATTATTGCAATATTTCCAGTGTCATTTGATTGACATTCAGGCACTTAGCAACTGGTATGTATTTATGACAGTTGCGGCATGGAGGATCATGTGATCACCATTTGTGACCTTACCAGCCAACTAACCAAGTCAATGGGAGAAGGCAGTTTTACTTAATAACTGAGTGACTCATTTAACAACTGCAGTGATCACTTAACAACCATGACAAAAAAGGTTGTACAATTGGGTAGAATTCAATTAACAATTGCCTTGCTTAGCAACAGAAATTCTGGTTCCAATTGTGGTCATTGGTTAAGGACTACCTATACAGAGAGAGTTTCAATGTGGAAGCTAAATATTACTATTTTTTGGTTTTGTGTGTATGTGTGTGTGTGTGTGTTTAAAAGAAGAAACAGACATCCTGCAATCTCCGGAATTTAAAATTACATTTAATGTGCATATATATATGATGGAGGAACAACCATAAACAGAAAAAATACAGATAGTCTTCAACTTATGACCACAATTGAGCCCCAAATTTTTGTTGTTAAGTGATACATTTGTTAAGTGAATTTGCCCCATTTTATGACTTTTCTCACCACATTTGTTAACTGAATTCCTGCTGTTCTTAAATTAGTAACATGGTTGTTAAGTAAACTTGGTTTCCACATTGACTTTGCTTGTCAGGTCACAAAAGGGTCTCACATAATTCTGGGACACTGCAACCATCATAAATGTGAATCAGTTGTCAAGAATGTAAATCACATGACCAGGGAAGCTGCAATGGTCATAAGTGTGAAAAATGGTCATGTCACTTTTTTCAGTGCTGTTGTAACTGTGAATGGTCAATAAATGGTCTTGTAAGTTGAGGACTATCTGCATGTAGTGGGATGGTTATTGCAAGTATATCATACACTATGAGAATATCATAGTGTCAAAATGCCTTTTATGGAATATTTACAATATGAAGAAAAGTTTATGGCGATGGTTCATATTCCACAGAAAGTCCAAATGAAATATTACTGAAAATTTCAGATGGATTTTGAGAATCTTTTTATATTTCTTTAACATTCAAAAATGTTAAGAATTTTTTGATAATTGTTGGTTATTACTGATATTCTGGTGTTCCAAACATCGTAGTTTCAATGTTTGCTTGAAAACCAAGGCAAGCACATTTCATACACACATAAAGCAGTAAAAGTACCCAAATGATAATGCTGAAAGATAGTTGAACACTATTAAAACTTTTCTTATACACTGCTCAAAAAAATAAAGAGAACACAAAAATAAGACATCCTAGATCTGAATGAATGAAATATTCTTATTAAATACTTCGTTCATTACATAGTTGAATGTGCTGACAACAAAATCACACAAAAATTATCAATGGAAATCAAATTTAACAACCCATGGAGGTCTGGATTTGGACTTACACTCAAAATTAAAGTGGGAAAAAAACACTACAGGCTGATCCAACTTTGATGTAATGTCCTTAAAACAAGTCAAAATGAGGCTCAGTAGTGTGTGTGGCCTCCACGTGTCTGTATGACCTCCCTACAACACCTGGGCATGCTCCTGATGAGGTGGCGGATGGTCTCCTGAGGGATCTCCTTCCACACCTGGACTAAAGCACCCCCCAACTCCTGGACAGTCTGTGGTGCAATGTGGTGTGGATGGATGGAGCGAGACATGATGTTCCAGATGTGCTCAATTGGATTCAGGTCTGGGGAACGGGCGGGCCAGTTCATAGCATCAATGCCTTCATCTTGCAGGAACTGCTGACACACTCCAGCCACATGAGGTCTAGCATTGTCGTGCATTAGGAAAAACCCAGGGCCAACCGCACCAGCATATGATCTCACAAGGGGTCTGAGGATCTCATCTCGATACCTAATGGCAGTCAGGCTACCTCTGGCGAGCACATGGAGGGCTCTGCACTTCCCTAAAGAAATGCCACCCTGCACCATTACTGACCCACTGCCAAACTGGTCATGCTGGAGGATGTTGCAGGCAGCAAAACATTCTCCATGCCGTCTCCAGACCCTGTCACGTCTGTCACATGTGCTCAGTGTGAACCTGCTTTCATCTGTGAAGAGCACAGGGAGCCAGTGGTGAATTTGCCAATCTTGGTGTTCTCTGGCAAATGCCAAACGTCCTGCACAGTGTTGGGCTGTAAGCACAACCCCCACCTGTGGACGTTGGGCCCTCATACCACCCTCATGGAGTCTGTTTCTGACTGTTTGAGCAGCCACATGCACATTTGTGGCCCGCTGGAGGTCATTTTGCAGGGCTCTGGCAGTGCTCCTCCTGTCCCTCCTTGCACAAAGGTGGAGGTAGCAGTCCTGATGCTGGGTTGTTGCCCTCCAAGGCCTCCTCCACGTCTCCTGATGTACTGGCCCATCTCCTGGTAGTGCCTCCATGCTCTGGACACTATGTTGACAGACACAGCAAATCTTCTTGCCAAAGCTT